CTTCTATATCTGAAATTCTGTCTTCACATTGGCTCATTCTGCTGCATAAACTTTCAGTGGAGCTTTTAGTCTCCTGGAAATCTGTTTGCATCTGTTTTATGGATTCCATTTGTTTCCTGTGTTAGGATTCCATCATGTTTTTTTAGCTACTCTATTTTTTTTTTTTGTCTGTGTCCTCTCTAGATTTATTAATCTTGTCTTGCACTAAGGGCACAATCTCTGCTGTTATCTGATAAATTATTTCTGAGTTCATTTTTTCCAGATCCTCTTTCATTGCCAGTTCAGGGAGTCCAGGCGATTGAGTATCAGATTGTTCCATCTCATTTCCCTTTGAGGTTGCTTTAGGTGATCTGGAAGTCTGGTTTTGAGACTTGTTTATCGGTCTTCTTATTTCAGTGGTGGTGGTGGGGGTGCTGCTCACACCCGTGTGGCTCACCTTCTTGGCACTGGGGGCAGTTGTACGGCAGCCCAAAAGGTTTCTCTCCTCTGCACTGGGGGCAGCTCTGCTCCTCAGTGCTGGGGGCAGTGGTACAGCGGCCCGGAAGGTGAACGTTTCATATGTTTGTTAACCAAATTTAGAATTTTAAATAAGATGAGCTTTTAATATTTTCCAGATTGCGGAAGCATTGTATTTTGTTGAGCCTCTGCCACTCTTCAAGTTAATAGTTAAGCATAATTTATAATCATAATTTTATGCATGTATTTTAATTGAATTTTTCAAACATGATGCCTAGAGATTTTGATAAAATATTTTATATGAACTAAAATAGAACCTCAGAGAAGAATCATATATTAATGGCTACAAAAATCATCCACTGAGAAACAAAACACATTTTTGAGCAAACCTGGAATCTTAGAATCATATTCTAAGTCATACATATTTGCTGTGCTTCCTAGTCAAAAGTATTAGGCTCATGAGGTAACTTTTTAATAACATCCTTTTACTCCTTTTTGAAAACTAAATAATCTCATCTTTTTAATTGTTTTCCTTGGAGGGAAGTACCAGGTGAGGTTAAGCCAGAATGACTTCAGTGAAGAATCTTATTTTTCATTATTATTGTGGATCTTTAAACATAAGTTGTATAGACATTTTTGTCAGTGACTTGGAATTGACTGGGAATTAAGTTAATTTAGGTTGCTATAATTTCAATAGAAATGTTAATAAATAAAAGCATTAAAATTCTTCATGCATAACATAATCAAAATATAAGATTAATTGACTTTTTAAAAAAAGCATTTAGCCCGTGTCACAAGTGTGGAGGGGTACAATTATTACCATTTTAGAGATGGAGAAGCTGAAACATGTGAAGATGAAGTAGTTTTCACAAGGACTCGCATACAGCTTGTAAACAAAAGGATTCAGATCCAGACGTAAAGGACCCCAGAGTCAATATTTCTAACTTTAACTCAAAAACTTTCTAACAATAGAGAGGATACATAGGAAAATCACAGTAGAAAAATGCACAGGAAACCTCAAAGTAGTTAATAACATACTAACTGCTTGATAAAAATCTTGGTTTTAATTTATTGTTGACATTATCTGCATCTGTTTATTTCTACTCCTAATTATAGCACAAATCCTTCATTCCAGCTTAAAGGAAGTTTAAGAATCTTGACTGTTGGTCCCAAATTCTTAGTCAGTTTTCCTGCCCCATGGGCCACACAGCAAGAGTGCTTAGAGATACACTGTCTGAGGATCAGCATTTTGCTGATGTGGGTGCTACCTGCATTCAACCCTCAGAAGTGAGGCACAGTTGTCCCTGTGTATCCATGCATTAAATGTCTTCCAATTTAACCACCTGTAGATAAAATATTTCAGAAAAAAACTGCATCTTTACTGAGTATATGTAGATTTTGGCATGTTATTATCCCCTAAATAATACAGTGTAACAATACTTATACAGCATTTACATTGTGTTAGGTATTGTAAGTAACCTAGGGATGATTTATAATATACAGGAGGATATATGTAGGGTCTGTGCAAATAGTGTGAAATTTTATATGAGAGATGTGTGCATCCACAAAGATTGGTATCTACAGGAGACCCCAGAACCAATCTCCCACACACATTGATATCTACCCGTACCCACGCCCATCCACATGGGGAGTGTGCTGGAGGCAGCCCCTTGAGTAGAAGCAGTCAGGCTCTGGTTCCCTATGTTTATAGGTATAGATTACTGTGTAAATAGTGGGTACATACAGGTTTTTGAAGTTTTATGTTTAACTTTATCCTTGTTCAAATTTATGTGTCTATGTTTACAATTGCGGTTATGGGGCTTTTTGCTCTGTTTTCTTTGTCTCTATGTCCTGCTCCCACCTACCTCCATGGCCTTTTCTCCACCTGCATCACCTGTGTATGCAAGAGTGCACAAATCATAACATGTATTCGTCCATAATTTCCCATGCTCATGTACTCACTTATTAAATACATCTATTATTAATATGTCAGTTACACACACAAATGCACACATGGGAAAGCTTAACCTTTGCTTTATGAGAAAAAGATGGGATCCTGTTATATATATATATTTTAAAAATACATATACCTTTTCACCAGCAATCCAAGCCCATTCCTGAAAATCTTTCTTTATTAAGGTACTGATATGTATGAGTATGTGTCCAGTGTATTTTTCTGCAGTATTGTTCATGGAAATAGGAGGGAAGAGGAATCATTAAATAAATCACGATATATCTACATCATGGGATTTTAAGCAGTCACTAAAAAATAAATTAATTTGATTTATATCAGAAATGTCTCCTCTGCCATTCTCTCTTTTATAGATATTACTGTTCTTTCTCCTTTACTGACATTTTAGTGAGGTTTCAAGAAGGAGAAAAGACAAGTGTATATGGACAGGCCTCTTTATAATTGAAAATATTCAGCTAAGTGAATTTCAAGACCTGATTTAACTTCTATTTTCCTCCTAGAGCTCTGAGGTTTTCTTCAACTATTTTTTCCGTCTTCTTGGCCTTCTGTATTTTGGAGACAGAAAAGTCCCTAGCCTCTAAGAAGTTAAATTCTTCCTCTTGACTAACTTTTAATCCTTACTGGTTATTTCTACCAATGGCATTTGAATGGGACATCCTCAAACATGGTCTCTGAAAGTAAACTCAGATCCAGTGAAATCTCAGTTCAGAAACTATTCCTAGTATATTTGGACTTGCTTAGAGATAAGAGACTTATAGGAAAGAAACAGTATTTCTGTATAACCACAGCCTTATGTTTTCTTTCCTTTGTTCCCATGCAGATTTGATAAAGGACGCATCTATACATTTATCGGAGAAGTTGTCGTCTCTGTGAATCCTTATAAGTTGCTGAACATCTATGGGAGGGACACAATTGAGCAGTACAAAGGGCGTGAGCTGTATGAGAGGCCACCTCATCTCTTTGCTATTGCTGATGCTGCTTACAAGGCAATGAAGAGGCGATCAAAAGACACTTGTATTGTTATATCAGGTATTTGGAGGGGGGCCCTGGTATATCTAAGGTCAAAATGTATTTAACTTATTTGATACTTAAGCATCTATATAACTGATAAAATCTTTTTTAAGGTTAAAAACCTGAACAACTTTGTGGACTAAAAGAAAGGGATGAATATTAAATAACAGATTCTTTATACATTTCTGATCATCTTGTGTTGGTTCTAGGTAGGAGGACCACTTGAGTCCAGGAGTTCAGGGCCAGCCTGGGCAACACAGCAAGACCTCATCTCTTTTAAAAACAGATAGATAGATAGATATAGATGTCAATCACACACTTGGAGGATGTCTGATTAGTTTGTAGACTGAGCTGGTGTGGAATATGTTTCCTACCCCAGAGAGACAAAGTGTAACAAAAAATATTTTGAATAGTAACAGTGAAAACAAGAAAATGAAATACTTAGGTGCCAAATATGAAAGCTGAAGTAAAGTCAGGCAGCTGCTTGGAAGCTGTTGTTGAGGACATGTAGAAGCCTGGGGACCAGAAATGGGCTTTCAGAGCCCAGAGCCCAAGTTTTCAAAGCCCAACAGAGAGGGTGTGGGCTGCCGGCCCATGTTGGAAAATGAGAGCCACACTACCATGGCAAGCTGAGCCCTTCAGGGCACCTGGTGCTGTGAAGCAAAGACCAGGAAAGTATCTGTTTGCTGGCTCTCGATGGCCTCTCCCAACCATGGCAGTTCCTGTCAGTGTTAATAATGCCTCACATTTGCATAGTGGGTCTGTCCTTTTAAATAACACTTTTAGGGGGGGCTATAGCTTAGTAGACTGCTTGCCTAGCATGCATGACCCTGGGTTTCACTCCCAGTAATGGGGAAAAAATAGCCTTTTATGATCAGTATTTTATTTTGTTTAGTAATGCAGAATAGTTGTTTTTCTTTAACAGTGTTGGAGTTGGAGAATTATATCCTAGGATGACATTGTATTAAATCAAATTACAAAAACAGTATTGCCCAGTTGTGAAGCTAGGGGGAGCAGTTAGATAAGTTTGAAGTGTGTTCATATTTTTAAGTATTTCCTTAGAAGAAGTTTCTGTCAGTGAAGTATTTGAGTCAGAAGATATAGTAGAATTTGCAAATTGATCCCTTCCCTCCTCTACCATCACTTACACTAATTGTCATGGTTTTAAAATGATATATCTGGAGCTTGCTATTTTATGTGTTCCCTAAAATCACTCTATGTTGTTTTGTTTATTTATTTTTGCCAGTCAGGGCCTTGCATAGAGTCACTGTGTTGCCCAGGCTGGTCTTGAGCTCCTGGGCTCAGCAATCATTCTCTCTTGGCTTTCCTAGTAGTTGGTTCTCTGGTTGCATGCTGGTGACATCTGGCTCTAAATTTAGTTTTTTGAAAACAATTATGTTATCTCCTTTGAAATTAAAAAAATGTAGAATTTGCCTGTGGCTATTATCTTATTTCATTTCTACTTGACTTAGGGATCATTGCCTAGTAATAAACTCCAAGGACTTAGATAACCACAATTTATTCCCCCAGTCCTGGGAATTGAACCCAAGACTTGCACTGAGCTACAGCCTCAGCCCTTTTTTATTTTATTTTGAGACAAGGTCTTGCTAAGTCACTAAGTTTCCCAGGCTGGGTTCAAACTTCAAATCCTTCTGCCTCAGCCTCCTAGAAAGCAAGGATTACAGGCATGCATCCCCATCCCCAGCATTTTGGCACAATTTATACCTTAATATTTTTTTCCTAATAAGTCTTAACTTGTAGTCTATGCTTTATTTTATTTCTATAATAGATTTTTTTTTCTCCAACATGTTCAGATCTATTGGAACCAATATAGGACCAAATAACTCAAAAAGGAAAAAAAGGAAAGAGTGCAACACAGGGATTTTAAATGAATAACATCGAAACTTAAAAGTTATTCTATTGAAAATGACTTCACTCTTGGTTTTAAGTATGATGTTACATTCTTCCCTCCAGGAGAAAGCGGAGCTGGTAAAACGGAAGCCAGCAAGTACATTATGCAGTATATTGCGGCCATCACCAACCCCAGCCAGAGAGCAGAGGTTGAAAGGTAAGGGGGGCACTGCACGGCGGGGGAAACTGAGGAGAGCCTTGTTTTCTATGCAGGTTCAGCTAGGCCTAAACTGCATGTGCCAAGCAGTTTTTAATGATTAAACTGCTTTGATTAGCATACTGCATATTGTCTCTACTTTTATTTATATCGCTGTATCCATGTCTAGATTTGTTGTTTAATAGAAAAATACTAGGTAAACTTTAGCAAATTCTTTTTTTTAAAGACTATTCTGCAGTAGTTGAAAGTATCCTCATTCTAGTTTATAACTGTGGTCAGCAGAAGTGGAAGGTTTTATTGTTTAAGCCAGGTTCCTTGTTTTTTTATTTTTCAAATATATTCTGAGTGAAGCAGGGCTGTGGAAGGCAGACTCATGCCTCCCCATCGTCACCACCAGAGCCCACTGCGAGGGGCACCCAGGGAGGGACCCTTCTAAATGGACCGCATGCCACACCGTGACCACTGCTCATGGTGAGATGAGTAGTAAAGCTGGTCTGTGCCATCGGGGGCCCACCCCCTCTTTTTTCAGTACTGGAAGTTGAACCCAGGGCCTTCACATCAAGCTAGATCCCTGGCCCTTTTAAATTATTTTTAGTTTGAAACAGGGTCTCACTGTGTTGCCCAGGCTTGACTTTGTAATCCTCCTGCCTCAGCCTCCCAGAGTGCTGGAATTATAGGCACCTACTACCACACCCATTTGGGGACCCACATTTAGGCAGTTTTGGCACATAGGACTTGCTTAATAAATAGAAAACGGGTGGTTTAAAGCAATGTGACTTGACTTTTTTATGTGATATAGCTGTTTCTGCAAAGAAAATAAAATGTTTTCCTAATTGGCTGCTTTGAAGCTGGATATTAATTTACTAAAGAGTTACACCTCATGTCCACATCACAGCCTTCAGTTTTGGGTACTGAAAGACAAGATACTGGGTTGATGTGAAAGAAGAGAAGTTACACTCAAGAACCCTATGTGCACTTTTTCTTTTCATCACAGTTGGGCAGAATTGCTAGGACAAAAGAGGCATTCTTGGTTGTGACATATCCCCGCTTCTGATTCTGATTTAGTAGCCTAATTAGACAAGGACAAACTTTTGATCAAGTTTTCTTAATTCCCTTAGGAGCTTGGGAGGATAGCAGAGAATTAACTTAATTTTAATTCTCATACTGCATAGTACATATGTACTTACTAGGCATATATAAATTTACTAGTCTTTCACAGGAGTATCTTTTTTTTTTTTTTTTTTTGTACCAGGGATCGAACTCGGGACCTTGCGCTTGCAAGGCAGGTGCCGGAGAACCACTGAGCTAAATTCCCGGGCCCACAGGAGTATCTTAACAGTTTATCACAGCTTCCTTTTAAGCAAACAGCGCCCCCCCGCCCCCATACATACATTTTAAAAGCACACAATACATGCCAGGTATTTAGCTCAGTGGTTTCGCTGCCTGCTGCGCAAGCACAAGGACCTGAGTTCGAGCCCCGGTACCAAAAAGAAAAAAACCACACAGTACTTTCAATTATGAGGAGATAAAGGATCATTTGTGGTATCAGTGGGAAGAATTAGATCTTCTATATCAGGTTATTTCAGAAGCCACAGTTAATTCTGCAAATATGACCTTTTGAGAGGATTTTGTCCATAAAATAAAAATAAGGACGTAAGGAGAAGCATGGAGTTATGATGTATCTATTGGGGAAACTGCTCTGCAAAATGTTAACATCCATTGAAGTAAGAGTACATTAAGTGACTGGTACGAAGGAAAGACCACGTATAGCTCCAAATGAAATAGTGAGCAAGTCCCAAATTAATAAAGACTAAATTAATGACACATAAGTGCAAGAAAATTTCACCATTCTAAGCTTTATAAGCAAGTACTTTTAAATGTTTTATCTTTTCTTTATCACCTGTTCTTTCTTTTCAGAACATATCTTTTTAAATGTTTTCTCTATGTAAATAAAACCTGTTCAGTTCAAAGAAAAAACAAAATATTACCAAATTAAGTTGAAGGTAAGAGTTCCCTGAAATCTTATCATTGCCCACCCCACCAGCCTCTTACCTAGATAACCACAGTGACATGTGCTGTTCCCTCCAGATTTTAACACATGTACTGTATTTGGCACAGGCACTCACTATGCATGTGCGCGCGCACACACACACGCGCGCGCACACACACACACAAAGAGCCTGCATTACTAGTTTTTTGGGGGCTTTTTTTGTTTGTTTTTTAATCTGGGATCAAACTCAGGACCTTGTGCTTGCAAGGCAGGCGCAACACCACTGAGCTAAATTCCCAGCCCTGCCTTACTAGTATTTTCCTGTCTGTTTTCACATCCATCAATATATCCTGAATATCCTCCTATGTCAGTATATATAATATACTTCATTTTTAACATTTTTATAGCATTTCACTATATTGGGCAACAAAAATGTATTTTTATCTGTCCCATTGGTTGCTACTTCAGTTGTTTGTATTTTTTAAATATTGAAACAGTATTGCATGCAGCATCTTTGTATAAATATTTGCATGTGTTTTAGTAAAATCCAGTTTTTTAAAAAATCCTAGTCTCTGAAACCTTTTACAATGACTTTTATATATCTGTGTTAAAGAGTGAAGAATATGTTGCTTAAGTCCAATTGTGTTTTGGAAGCTTTTGGAAATGCCAAAACCAATCGTAATGACAACTCAAGCAGGTTTGGAAAATACATGGATATCAACTTTGACTTCAAGGGAGACCCTATTGGTGGACATATCAATAACTACTTATTGGAGAAGGTAAAACGTGCTTAATTTCTGAGGGTAATATTTATAAGTGCTGAATGTTTTAAAAATACTTGTTCATATATGTAGAGTCTCATTTATTGCTTTAAAGTAGCTTTTAATCCTGTTCTCCATCCTCAAATTAGCTTTCTGTGGTCAGGTGGTGTCCTTTGTGTTCTTTTATTAGCACTTACAACATTAAGATAAGAGCTTTCTAGACATGGATTTAGGGGTGTGTACAGAGCGGGGCAAGGATATGAGGGTGCGCCCGCTTTTGGCTGAGGTTTAACCAAAAGCCAATCTAGGACTAATTAGGTCTAGTCTTTCTATCCATCACCATCTTCCATCCATTTTAATTTCAGTTAATTTGAAATTTCCTTCTAGATTCCCTTCGTTCACTGTTTTATAGCATCATATATATTTTTTGTTATCTTATCTCCTAATTTTGAAGCATACTATATTTGGTCAGTGAAAACTTAGAATACATTTATATCTGCCTATGTGAATATTAGGCCCAGTTTCTAGAAAAGTTCAATTAAAACTTTCCCCTTGAAGCACAAGGTCCCTAGTTTGATCCCCGGTACAAAATAAACAACTTTCCCCTTGGGACTGCCAGAGAGATTGTGTTCTATCTAATCTTGATTATCACTTCATCTGACCGTGAAGGCACACATGGCATTCAGTCCTCTGAGTTTCACAGTTCAGCATGTGCTTTACAAGTCAAGTCTCCACCTTGAGTCATGCTCCGAGCTAAGCTGATGAGTCCCTTCTCAGTTAAGGGTTGCCTGTCCCTACCATTTACTCCAAAGCATCTTTTATACCAATGCAATGCAGAATAATCTCTATTTTCACTTGTTATACTGAGGTCAGACTCAAGGATTCCTTATCAGAGTCAGTTAAAAAGGACAGGAAATACCAAGTATTATCTTGTCTTTTCTTCCCCCCAGAATGTCTCTTGGCTTCACTGTATGTACATACTCACTTAAAAGGATCTCCTTGAATCCTTTCCTAATAGTAGTCTTTTGGAACCATCTAAGGCAGAGATCCCTAAGGACTGAACTTGCTCAACTGACTTTATTACAGGATATAAGGCATTGCTTTTTGAAATGCCAGAAGCCCTCAGGGAAAAGAATGTTGAGAATATTTCTCCCTAAGCATTCTTTTCTATTCTGCCCACTTCAGTCCCTTTACCTCATGAAGAACCATCTCAAGGCTCTAGATTTAAAAAAAATCAAAATACTTCCAGTCTTCAGAAAGTTTAGTGACCTCTGCTTTAAGCAGTAAAAAGAATTAATAAAAAATTGCCAAGGAAACTCTATAGAGAAGACCTGATCTTAGGTAAGGACCACATACAATCTTCAGGGCATTTAAGTGTACTATATATAGATTAAAAAAACTCTTAAGATTTTATTTTATGGGTGCAATTTCAGATGAACTATTTTAATGTGGTGTTTTTTTTCTTAGTCTCGAGTGATTGTGCAACAACCAGGAGAAAGAAGCTTTCATTCTTTCTATCAGGTTAGTAATCTGTGCTGCAGAGAATTGGTCATGTGCCCCATTGTGCCGGAAATGAATGTTTTTATATTGTACTCTCCCCTGTCCTATACCTCTCTTATTTCCATTGGCTCCATAGCACATTACAGGTGCAAGCACACATGCACACACCCTTCCCCATGTGCTTCTTAAGTGATCTGATTAGTACAACTGTTGTAAGAGCTGGCGGGTGATTAGCCACCCAGGGACTGCCCAGGTTGAGCATCACTCACATTTCCTTGCAGTGCAAATATCTGTTTAATAACCATGGTGGATTCTAAATTTGTTAACCTTATTTTATTTTGAATTGAAGTTTTTGTTCTTATATTTGGGAGTCCCAGAGATGAGAATACAAATTCAGTTATTTTGTTCTTAGAGACTATATAGAGACTATATGGTTGCCTTAAAAAAAAAAAAAACCTCAAGAGAAAATTGTCTTCTTTATCCCATCAAAGCACAGGGAAAAACTAAATGCTTCTTTTGGGAATGCTATTCAAGTCCAAAACAAAATATTTTAAATATCCCTCCTGCTGGCAAATCTACTTTCAGAGAATAAGCTTGATACATTTTTATAGTTTTTAAAACCCAAAGTAATATAAACCAAGGCTAATAAATTGCATGGTCAAATTAATATGATTTTGGATTTTTTAAAAATAAAACTGTGAATGAATAAAGTTGGTTTGCACATGTAACTGTCTTTGAAGGTGATTGAATAGTGATAGTACAATTGAGTACAATGTCGAGTTCAGCTAGGTAACTGCTTTAGTAGACACTACTCCATTGTGTATACATGTTCTGGTATATTTGTTTAAAAATTTAAGTTTAGGGTGGGGGGTCAAGGTCTTAACTCAGCCTCTCCAGGAAATATCCCTGATCCCCGCCCTCACTGAAAATCCTTGTACACTTGCTATGTGACTTGCTTCCCAATTGGACCACCATTACCTAAGTGACTGTACTTGTAACCTTATTGGATGTTCATGGCTGTGGCCCACATTGTACCCACGTGGGTTTGACTCTATAAAACTCCTCTTGTAAAGTGGGGTCTTTGGCTACCGACTTGGGACCCCTCCTGCCCCTCAGGAGCTTTTCTATCAATAAATATCTTTCTACTTTAAAAAAATAAAAAATAAATAAAACTTTAATTTTAAAAATCTAGTGATTATACCTTTTAAGTACACCAAAGCATGCAGTTTAATATGGAGAATTTGAACACAATGCCTCCCAAAGTCATGCTCTGTATAAAAGGGCTGTTTTATATTTTTCTTGTTGTTGATAATTTGCCATGTTTTGAATAAACTATTTTTCATTTTGGGGGTTTTTTGTGTGTGTGTTAAATTCTTTCATTGGTACATTGTAGGTATACAACACAATTACATTTCTCATTGGGAATTGTACCTTTACATAATGCATCTTGGTTCT